ATTCCAGATGGCCACAAAGGAATTTCCACCAGAATAACAACCTGACTCTCTTAAAAGAAAAGAAATTTTGACCCCTTTGGTTTGACGGGAGGGGAAGCGCCTGACACAATCTCGTCATCATCTTTTCTGTCTTTGTTTCGAACCCCCTAAGTAATGGTTGTGTATCTACATATTCTGTTTAGGTGGAGTTCGGTATAAGTCAGTAGATGCCTTTGACTATGTTGGATCAGGCCGATGGCCCATCCAGTCCAACACTCTGTCACACAGTGGCCAAAAATACCAGGTGCCATCAGGAGGTCCACCAGTGGGGCCAGGACACTAGAAGCCCTCCCACTGTTGCCCCCCCCAAGCACCAAGAAGACAGAGCATCACTGCCCCAGACAGTGTTCCATCTATACCTTGTGGCTAAGAGCCACTGATGGATCTCTGCCCCAAACCCTCTTGAAACTGTCTATGCCGATAGCCACCACCACTTCCTGTGGCAGTGTCGTGAATTCCACATGTTAATAATTAGTCCTATAATATACTGTTAGTATAAAGTAGTAAGACTGAAAAGAAACCGTGTTCTTCATTATTTTCAGTTCTCTTTATCTGTTCTTTGCAATAAACAATGCCTCCCAGATGTTTGCCCAAAACCCTCTTGAAACTGTCTATGCCTGTAGCCGCCGCCACTTCCTGTGGCAGTGTCGTGAATTCCACATGTTAATAATTAGTCCTATAATGTACTGTTAGTATAAAGTAATAATCATCATTTTCTGTTCTCTTTATCTGTTCTTTGCAATAAACAGTGCCTCTCTGCATCTGCATCCATCCCTAGCTAGATAGGATAGAAACTGGCACTGTCTCTAAGCTGCACTATCCAGTATGAATTTCCTAAATACAGTCGTTCTTATTTTCTTTTAATCTGACAAGTGGCTCTGTGTAACTTTGTAGTCTTACAAGCATACGCTGAACAAAGGAGCCCTGCTGTGTTCTGAGCCTTTAGTGCGCTCTGCAAATTTTAACAAGGGATCTGGACTAACGTAGAAGAAGAAGAGGAGGAGGAGGAGGAGGAGGAGGAGGAGGAAGAGATTGGATTTATACCCCACCCTTCACTATCCAAAGGAGTCTCAGAGCGGCTTACAATCTCCTTTCCCTTCCCCTCCCCACCACAGACACCCTGTGAGGTAAAAGAAGAAGAGATTGGATTTATACCCCGCCCTTCACTACCCAAAGGAGTCTCAGAGCGGTTTACAAACCCCTTCCCCTTCCCCTCCCCACAACAGACACCCTGTGAGGTAGGTGAGGCTGAGAGAGCTCTTTTGAGAACTGCTTGTGAGAGAACAGCTCTGAGAGAACTTGTGACTGACCCAAGGTCATGCCACGTGGAGGAGTGGGGAATCAAACCCGGTTCTCCCAGATTAGAGTCTGTGCTCCTAGCCATTGCACCATACTGGCTCTCAATACATGTTGACTTCACAAATAAAACTCAGGACCAGTACCTGGATGAACATAAGGTTTAAGTTGCACCTTCTGCTGTAGAATGGAACAAGTGTACACAGAAAAAAATAATGTGTACCCTGTACAGGGATTGTACATGCTATCACTGTAATTTGGAGTATCTCCAAGTTAGGTCCTTATATTGTGTAAAACAGTAAAAATTATCCAACTACTGAGGAGCCTACCTGCCATGTCTCTGTCTGAACCCCTGTTCTGGGTGTGCCTCCTGAGTGGAAGCTGGAACTAAACTTGCATAGAGCCGCTATATGAAGAGAACTTTAAGTCTTCAGGAACCAAGAATTCTACTGACCTGAAGTACCATTGGTGTATTGAGTAGACTTTGGAATTCGTAATTTGCATTCTAATCCTTGTGACTCATGAATGTGGGTCTTTTCCTATTTGCACAATTTATTTATATGCATTTCGAGATTTGTATTAAGATTGTTTTGTGTGTTTGTGATTGCTGATTACGCAGATAATTTGCAAGCGTTGTATTTAGCATCTGAGTATTTTTGGAGATTTAATTATAACGGAGGATTTCCCCCTTTTCTTGTATTAACTTCCAGGTGGGGGCTAGAGTTCTTGGAAATACCACAGATCTCTGGACTACAGAGATCAGTTTCCCTTGAGGGATGGTAATTCAATGTTCCCGCTAAGCTGTGGAGTCTTGTGAGCAAAAATCCTACTTTGTGAGCTGCTGGCATTAAAGTTGTGAGTGAGCGATTTGGCCACTGCATACATTAATTTGCTCTGGAGCCATCCCTCCTGAGCGAAGACAAAAATGTGTGTGCCGGAGGCTAAAAAACTGTGAGCTAGCTCACGCTGACTCAGCTTAGAGGGAACACTGGATGGTATTCAGGATGGAGTTTGGCTGGGGATCCTGGTGGTTTTTTGTCATCTTCTGGGCGTGGGACAGCAGTCACTGGGTGTGTGTTGGGGGGGGAGGTATTTGTGAATTTCCTGCATCGTGCAGGGGTTAGACTAGATGACCCTGGAGGTCCATTCCAATTCTATGATTCTATACCACAGAGCCTCCCCGAATACTGTTCCCCAATCTCCACGAATTGCCCTAGTCGGAGCTGGCCACATCAGCAGACACACAACATGTAACATCTTTCATCAGCAGGCAAATGACCTGTACATTATGAGTGACTGAATGGCCACTCATACAGAGATGTGGCACTCAGCAGAGGCGGACTGGAAAGAAAAGAGGCACGAGCAGTGATTCATTCAGGGACACAACGGCAGCCCTCTGTAAATGGGCTCATGGGAGCCTTGGTTCCCTCCCCCCCCCTGAATTTTTAAAGTGTTTTCTAACGCTGTAAATCAAGGGTATTTGTTTTGCCGTGACATGTTTTGACAATAAAATTTTGATTGGTGATCCGTACTTGATGCCTGGCTTGCCTTGTGTATTTGGAAAAGCGCACAGATCGGCGCTGAATTCTGTCCGTCTCTTGTCAACATCCAAATCCCGGGAATCAACCAATATTTATAAAAGCCACGCTCTAAAGCCATAACATGTCTCTGCCAGGAGGAGAGGCAACAAAACACACAGCCCATTAGCTTAGGGTTTCAAGTCGACCCGACTGACTGATGCAGATAATTTTTTTTTTCTTTTCAAAAAGAGAAATGTTTATAAGCCAGGCTAAGGGTTTGTTGGAAAGGGACTTCCAAATATGTAGAGGTTTGAAAGCCAGGCAGACAGAGAAAGATTGCAATGAGAAAAAAAAAATTTAGCTGGAAGGGGGAAAGGAGGATGTCTTCTGATGCAAAGGACAAGCCGATCTGAGGGCAGCAGAAATTGAAGACGAGGCAGAAAGTTATCAGAGGGCTGTTTTTCAGGGACCGGCCCTTGGAAAACACGGCTGCATGGGAAGCAGGCTAATTTCCTAATTTTAAAAAAATCTCCCAAAGAGGCCCCTCTGATCTGCAAATCTTTCAGTGGCAGGGAACACACTCTGTGCATGCTCAGAGGCACACCCCGTAGGGGAGAACCTGACACAGCTTTGCAGATGCTGGGATTGAAACAACGTCTTGGGATTCGGCCATGATGATCCCCTGACTCCTGCAGAGCACAGCCTAAATACTTCCTTCCCAAACGAAAGCAGCACCAAATTTTCCTGTGGCCCCCAAGTCCAGAATATACTTTCCGCTGGCTCTTTTGCACAGATCTCTATGAGCGCCAAGCAAACGGCAACACCCTCTTTCCAGGGCTGGATTTCTAGCAAAAGGCAGAGCAGCAAAAGGCACACTGGATGTTGTTGAACCCAGATCCTTGTTAGGTTGTTATGAGAGAAAAATACTCTGCATTCACTCAGAGGCACTTCATTCCTAAGATTCCACCTTGAGCCCCGCCTGTTCCTGACGCTTTCCCAAAGGCTGGATTTTGAAATTGTTTCCAAAGAAAGAAAGCGAGGTTCCCTTTAAGAGGAAAGGGGAAAAAATGTTTGCGGAAAACCAAAAAGGGGAAGAATGCGGTAAGTCCAGTTTGGGATTCTTGGCCCCCTTACACACATCTGCTGCTAAAAGTGCAGAACGGAGCATGAAAGCAAGGCTCCGTTTTGACACTACACTCTGCACATGGACCGGGGCCCTCGCTTCATTTAATAAAGCGACACACTGAATTGGAAGACACGATTCAGTCGGGTTCCGGAACCAAAGGACAGATCGGTCTTCAATTTGTTTCACAGAACTGAGTCCATCGTGAACGAAGAAAGGCAGTATAAAGGCATTTTGACAAAGCATTCCTGG